TTAATAAATTTATTTGATTTAAAAAAGTACGCTATTGTTAAAGAGAACTTTTTATTAGTATTTATTTACAAAACTTTTTCCTTTAATCATAATTTTACATAATTACATCAAATAAAATAAAATTACATAACTGGAGAGGCAAAATTTATATCAGAAGTGGTCACTTCTTTATCAGTTGACATGTAATATGACAGATCAGTTTAGGAAATGACCACTTGGCATTCCGAAAAGTGATAATAAAGTAACTACTTTCCAACCGAAACCAAATGTCAATGTTTTTCAAAATTTGCTAAATTCTTTATTGGCTTTTTGTTCTTTAAGGAGAATCATTGTGAATGAAATAGTATACAAACCTTGGTGGTTATTGCTTTACGGTACCGCGGCATTTTTGCGGCTTAGTCCTATTATACTATTTCTAAAGCTTTTTACCAATATAATTTATTATTAATATGTATTTACCAATAATTTATTATTTCATGCCAATATAAAATTTTAAATTTTCCGAACCATGTTTCATAAATTTCTATTTTATGTTCCCGTGTGTTTGGTTACGGTTCCTTCGGCTTTATTGTAATTTGCCTCGAATTCGAATTTCTATACATTTTGTAAACTTTGTGCAAAATCTCGACAATATACATTGATATCTCGTTCAATTTTATTTCTCCAACCTCTTGTATTTATTTCCATATTGCAGCGTAGGTTGAAATTCTATACGTTTTCACTCTTTGATCGAATCGAGGCCCGCGGCGGAAGCGTTAAGAAAGAAAAGATTGAGTAAACAAATGGTATATGTATTTTCAGGCCTTTCATTCAAAAAAACCATTTGTGATAAAATTGTGTTAACTACTAAGAGAACGAAGAGATTTCTATTCTGTAAAAGGATATCTATCTGGTTGTGACGGAACATATTCATCAATTTCATCGCCTATTATAGTTTCACATCAGAACTGTCATCTTGTTCAGGAACCGTGAAACACAACAGGGCTAAACTTGTTTGCCCGAAAACATCCATAAAAGTACTGTCAATAACATAAAGACAACAATTTATCAGTAAAATAGGTACTTATTTTCTTATTTATTGTGCGTTTTTCTGGCTGATTTATTTATGTTGGGCATCGAAATTCTGGACGTAATTATAATGATTGTCTTTTTTATTATTTATAGACTTCGAAGCTCTTCACATCGATTAGATCCGATTTTTTTTCCGAAACGTCTAGCATTTTCGTTGCCACGATAGATTTTTTCTGCATAAACTTGCTACTCCACGTTATTTGTCTCTAGAGTCATTCCTAATTGCCTCGTCTTCTTTTTTACTCTCAAGGGAAGAACTTTTATTCTCAAAGAAAAATGTGTCGAGGTTTATACTTGGTAGTCATCAACAACTTGAAGTTAATTTTAGAAAAAATAAGATCATGAATTTTAAACACCCAGCAAAAATATAAAAATTTTGTAGGTATTTTAGGAACGTCCTACATAATTAATAAGCTTAAAAAAGAGGGAGAAAAGAGATTTAAATACTTACCATAACATAATCTCATTAAAAAATGCCTGCTGTTTTTACGAATGTCGCATTTTTTAGAATTTTTAATAAAGTTTTCGAGGCTTATAATTTGCTGGAAAGGCAGACGCTCCCCGGAAACACTTATTGTTGAAGCCGGGTGAAACTAGAGTTCTCTTATCACGTCACGTAAAACACGTTACTCGGGCCCTTCAGGGACTCAAGTTAACATCTATATACTGGATTTTCTCGAAACTTGCCTAAAATAAAGTCCAAGTTTGATTGAGTAATAGTTGGTAGGAACAACGGAATAACAGACAAGCCAATAATTTATTGCTTCAAATAAAACAAGATAAAGGTGAGAAATAACAGAAACTGCAAACATTTCTACGGAAATTATTATAAATTGGTCGATTTCTAGGTCTGGTGTGACTCAGGAAAATTGACGTCAGCCGACCTTTATTTTAAGATATTCTCGATTCGGAAGTAAATTAAATATGAATAGCTGAGGACATTGATTTTTCACTCTTTATTGCAGAAGCTTTATCGATTTTCTGGAAGCTGTGGAACCACAAAAAGTGTGCTTGAACTTGAAAAAAGGATGAGACGAAAATTCAAATATTTGATATTTGTCATTATGAATTTTTGTTTGTGTAAATAGAACAAAACATGATTTTGCTTTTATTGTTTTCAGCGTGTTTTCCTCTAGCGACACAAGAGTGTGAACTGATTCTTATTCTATTTGTTCTAAACTGTTGAATCTTTTAAACATAATTCTCTGCTTGAAGTGCTGCTGTTCGGCTATGTGGGCAATAAAATGTTCAACCGTTCATCTTCAATGGTGATTGTCTTAGGTCGACCTATCCGCGATCTATCTTTGAATGCGCCAATTTCTCTACATCTGTTTAATGAATGTCTTTGCGACAACAAAGTCTCTCGCAGGATTTCCCTTTTTGGATTCTAGACAAATTGCGACTGCACAAAAGCAGAAATGTTATTTTAAATCGTTTTTAGATTTTTCACATGATGATATGCCAAAATATGAAAATTATTGGAAAAGCAATCGGTTACGCATTGATCATAAATTTAAAGTGCGAGCAAATGTGAAATCATTAACTACGAATATGGTTCCTATCTGTTTCATTTCCTTTGTTACCAGCTTTTGTACTTACGAATGTACGATAATAGAGCGTATTTGCGGATTACGAGCAAATATTTTAACCACTAACAATTCGTTACGAGAAGGTAATTTAAAGACCAAACAAATTACGTATCCAATTTTTTTCTCATTTTCCGTTATATAATTTTCACGAGCCGTTCGGTGTGTCTGTCCTTGTTAGGTAGAAGTAGAAATATCAATAAAAATGATTTCCATTGAATGTTGACCGTAAAAGTTTTAATGCACAAAAAAAAAGGATAACTTTGTGCACAAAAAAAATTATAAAATATTTACACGCGTCAGTTTAGCCAGTCATTAACGCGCTTTCGTGTGAATTGTGTACACCAATTTGAAATCAAATTGTAAATCAAGTGGTTAAATATTTGCTCGCAATCCACGAACACCCTGTATCTACAGTGACTATGTTTATAGTCCTATTCTTGTCTTTATTACTCAATTTCTCAAAGACTACGTAAAATTACGTCTATAACACCATATTCCAAGCGTTTTTGCGACAAAATGTTCTTCGACCATTTTCACGATACAACTTAAAAAAACTCAAAAAAATCTATTTATTTAACTCGACCCTATAACATTTTATATTTTAATAATAAAGGTTTGCACGGACATTGGTTGTTAGGCGTTATCTACTTCACGATAATGAAATTGTTCTGAACTCTGTCAGTACACGTTGGTTGAGCAAATCTAATGTGAAATTCTACTACTATGCACATATGGTACCATTCCAAACAAACTCATTGTACCTAATTACTTATGCTGTAACCAAACGCAAGATTAATATCTTTTTACATATTCTGACTATATTCGAATAATTATAGCAAATGATTTACTTTTTAAGGTACAAAAGTTGCCTCTCTAAGAGGTTGATTCAATTTTTTTAGAAAAAAAAGCATCCGACTGATTACTGTTCTTTAAGCTCACTAGGTATTTAAAACAGAATCAACTATACAACTTTTTTGCAATTAATAATCATTTTAATTAAAAAAACAAATCAGTTTGTTTTTATTATCTTAAAATTTTACGTGGGCAAACTTTACAAAAAATTGTTTATTCCCTTATTTAATCTTCAACATTTCTTACACATTTAATAACATGTTTCACAAGACATTTTTGAACTAACGTAACAATGTCTTTAGTAGCATTAGTAAGAATCTCAATCCCTGAACTTAAGCAACCATAAGACAAATATCCACTTTGGTAAAACTGAGAAATTTGCTCATGAGTTGCTAAAACTGACAATACAACAATCCCGTGATCACTTTGTTCCTCTTTAAACAAAGGGACTTGACATAAACGTTCCTCTTCTAAAGTAGGGTCTACCAAAAGATTGTTTCCTTGCACAGCTAAAGTCACTGATGTTATTAAATCATACATTGGAATTCCTGCATGTGCTAAAGCCACTCCAGCTGCTGTTATAGCTGCACTTAAGGCAGATCCATCATTGTGTAACACTATGGCGTAAATATCTACTTGAAAATTAGGAAATTCGTGTCTGAATACTGCAGATTCTAATGCTTGTTTCATAATAGCACTGTATTGTTGTTCTTCGGAGTCTTGTTGATGTAATCTACGTTTGTGGCAACTGAATGGCGCAAATTTAAATTCGCAATAGATTTCGCCTTTGGAACTGTAGTCAGTTTTATTAGGGATTTCTCGGGGGTCAAATACAGATACTATTACTTTTGTTTGGTCTAATTCAATATATGCTGAACCCTTAGCTTGGCTGACGACCCCAGTTTTCATAACTGAAATATTAAATATTAGCTGCTGCATACATCTTAAAATCTAAACACAAATTACATATTTTTCTATGCTCTGATGATGATCTTCCATCCGCTCGTGTTCCATTGCGCTGCACAATTTCACTGAATTGGGTTTTCAAAGATTTTGTATTTAATTTGTCAAATAATTGGTATGGAATTGATATTTCCGGACCATTGATTCTTTTGTGATCTACAGGCATTGCAAAAATTATACTTTACCCATGTATTTTTGAGGTTATGTTTGATGCACAAATGTTAGGTTATTTTGTGTAATTTACCAAAACCTATAATTCACAAATCTTGTAATACCAAATAACAAAAAATATTAATAATTTAAAAGCTGAAAATAATTATTAAATAAACTTTAGCACAATAAACAAATGCAATATTGATAAAAACAACCGTAAATTTAATTACTGGTTTTAGCTTTAGGTTTATATTTTCTGGTTATTCGCGGTTTCTGGAAATACACAGCACTTAAAAATGTCATCAAAACGTCAAATTTGGCGCAATTTTGTGTAAATTTGCTATCGGTATTTAAGCTTCTTTAAAGAAATTTGGAGATAATTAATCAAGGTGAGAATATGCAGCTTACCAGTAAATAACAAGTCGTTTAGTGAAGTTGTTGTTGAACCTATTCTGTATTTCAGATGTCAGATAACGAAGACGCAGTAGATGCATCTGCAGGTTCTAACACGTTATACAAACCATCTTTTGTACTTATCGCAATCGATACTGACCCTTCGATGTTCGTTAAAAATGAAAGTGATGGAAATATTCCTTTTAAAGACTGCATTTCTGCCTGCTACAACCTGGCAAATTCACTAATATTTGTCCAAAATAAGCGAAGCTGGAGTCCATTTGGTATAGTATTAGCCCGTGAAGATGCTTCAGCGTCGTTGATCAATTTCAAAGATAACATCTTAGAATCAATTAAATTGCTTAAAGAAAAGAATGAATTATCTGAGGATAAATTATTGGATCTGTATCAGCGGAAAGGCGGTTTAAATTTGAGTTCATTTTTTCTCTTTTGTAAGAAGAAGTTCAAGGAAGTTAATTCTGCTTTTTACAAAAGAACCATTATTTATGTAACCAGTGATGATAATCCAGTTAAAGATGATAAAAACCAGAGGTTTGCTGCTCTCAATGAAGCAAAAAATTTTGGGTGTAATGATATTACTTTTGAATTGGTGACTATGAGTCACAACTTTGATTATAAAATCTTTTACAATGAACTGTTTTCAATCATAAAAAGCCCTCCTGTTGAAACAGTTGTTGAAGATGAAGATGGTTTATTAGAGAAACTTTCTTCTTTGATTGTAAGGAGATTTTATCAGAGAAGGTTGCTGTTTTTCCCTTTCTTGAATGACCAGACAAGGTTTCTTAAAATCAAACAAAAGTCATTTGTCCAAGAAGAAAAACTATACAACAACGCATGTATTTCAGAAAGTGGTAAACTTTTGAAAAAAGTTTCAAAAGTGGTAAATGACGTTATTGAAACTTACAATCTTAGACATGCGGACGGAACAATTGAATTTAGTGTTGAAGAACGATTTAAAATAAAAAATACAGATCTACCAGTTGGATATACCCTCATTCAGGTTTCTGACAGAGTCACAGATGTTGGCATTGTGTTGACACATCCTGCAATCATTGAGATTGATCCTAAAGAAGAGTTAGATTATTTTGCTAGTTTTTGGCAGTATTGTGTTGATAAGAACAAAGTTCTTATTTGTTTCAGAAAACTTAAAAAGCTTGATAAAATATGTTTTGTGGAATTTATTCCGAAATTTATGAATAATAATAGAGTATTTTTGGTCAAAACAATTCCTTTTAATGATGAACATCAACGCACTCCAAGTGATCTTGCTACTGAGGAACAAAGTGAGAGTTACTCAGGGAAAATGCGTAGTACAACTAATGAACTTATAAATGAATTAACATTTGATTATGATCCTAAAATGTTTACCAATCCTTCCCTTACTAAGAAGAAAGCTTATTTAAGGTCCAAGTTACTTGATGAACCTCAAGGAGAGGTTGAAGACGTTTCTTTAGATAGCGCTGCTATTGATAAGAGGTTGGGTGATATAGGAGAAAGTTTCAAAAAGCTGTTTGCTTTAGGAGAAGAGACTGCGCCAAAGAGGAAGGCTCCTTCCACAGCAAGGGGATCCAAGAAGAAGAAGGCCTAAGTGTTTAATGGCTTTATCTGCAAAAACATAAATTTAAGAACTAATTTAAGATTTTCAATATAATATAATTATTGTATTATTTTTTATGTTAAATGTTTTCAATTTGTATTTTTGTGCTTATTTGATATTAAAATCCAAGACATTTGATTTGAAACATGTTTAATTATGATCTATATGACTAAATAAGAAGTGCTAAACTCATTAATTATTATCATAACTTTTAATCAGTGATTTAAGTTTTTTTAGTAATTTTTTGTTTGTCACTAGGACAAATGTGACATCTGAAAGAACACGGAGAGGTTAGAGTTTCACAATTTTTGAAAAGAAAATAAACAAGAACAACATAGATAAATCGTACAAAAAGAATTTGAATAAGTGTCATTTCAATTAAATATTTGTCTTTTTGTATGTGGGTGGGTAAACATGGAAGGAGATTACGAAATGCCATGTTGCTCAAGAAATAATGCAGATACCCAGGTAAAAACCACAAAAATTCCGATTTATTTAAATTCTCACATATTTTATAATTCTTTTGAAGGAGCAAGAGTTAACTGAACTTACATTGGCACAAGGAATTAACGTTTGGGGCGAAAATCAACAAACTTTGGAAGAACAGGCATTAGAAGAAATTAATATTTTTACGCAACAAAATGCAACAAAGGATGTGGAAGAAGGTGAAATTGTTGAGGATAAGAAAAAAGAGAATTTTTCGTCTTTGGATATTACCAGTTATATAAAACGACAAGAAGAATTGAGGAAAATACAAGAATACAAAAAGACGTTACAAGTAAAAGATAACAAATCTAAAATAATAGCTGATAAAATTACTGAAAAGCAAAAGAGGAGTTTAAAAAAGAGAAAAACCAGTAGTAGTGAAAAAGGCCCTGTGAAGAAAAAAGTTCAAATAGACTGTACCGAGAAAAAAGAAAAGGGAAATGATTCCGGGAGTGAATATGTTCCTTCAGAAGATGAAGGTAATTGCAAAGGTTTGTTGTATCGGTTCTTAAATACTATTTTATAGACAGCGATGTTGAAAGAGATTATAGCCAATTAAGAAAACAAAAAAATGTTACAAGTAATAATGTTCAAAAAATTAAAGACGACGGTTGTGTAAAATCTTACAAAAGTAGATTAAAAGAATACTACAAGGACCTAGAATCTGTAAATATTTATGCCGAGGAAGATTCAGATACCCCTGATTTTTACACTATTAAAGGAGGTTTAAAAATACCTTTAAGAATTTGGTGTAATTTATACCCATACCAACAGGAAGGTGTAAGATGGTTATGGAACCTTCACAGGCAGTCCACTGGTGGTCTTCTAGGAGACGAGATGGGTCTGGGCAAAACAGTCCAAGTGATTGCTTTTTTGGCAGGTCTCGAATACAGCAAAATTATTTCTTATGACCGGTATTTGATTCCTTAATTTAAAGTTTAAATAATTGTTAAAAAGTTTCAAAGGTCTAGGCCCCACACTGATTGTCTGCCCCGTCACTGTAATTTACCAGTGGGTGAAACACTTCCACGATTGGGCCCCAGAATTTCGCGTAGCGATTTTGCACCAAAGTGGCAACTATGAAGGAAAAAAATCAAATTTGATTAAAGAAATACACAATGATAAGGGAATTTTAGTCACAAGTTATGGTGGTATATTAAAGTACAAAGAAAATCTCACACAGTTTGAATGGCATTACGTAATTTTGGATGAAGGCCATAAAATTAGAAACCCTAATGCTAAAGTCAGCGTTGCGGTAAAAAAAATTAGGACACCACATAGACTCATGTTAACTGGAAGTCCCATGCAAAATAATTTACAAGAACTGTGGAGTTTGTTTGATTTTACAAATCCCGGAATGTTGGGGAATTTGAACACTTTTATGGAGCATTTTAATAATCCCATAGTTCAAGGAGGGTTTGCCAATGCGACTCCAATGCAAGTATGTTTTAAATTTTGAAAACGTACAAATTTTGATTTACAAAATTCAAGGAAGCTACAGCTTTGTCTGTTGCGACAACTTTAAAAAATTTGATCACTCCTTACTTATTAAGGAGGTCGAAACATGAAGTTCAGGAGCATATTAGTTTGCCTAATAAAAGCGAGCAAGTTTTGTTTTGCTCTCTTACAGAGGAACAACGAGAGTTATACAAGGGTTTTTTAATGGTTTGTTATTCAATTTTATTGTATTTCTTTATTATGTTTTTCATTTAATAGAGCGATCACGTTTCATCAATTATGGGAAGTTCAAAAAATTGGTTTGCAGAAAACCAAACACGAGCAAATGTTTTAATTTCAATAACAGCTTTGCGAAAAATTTGTAATCATCCTGATATTTATTTACATGCAGCTGGTGAGGCGGACGATGTAATAACTTAAGAAATCGCTTTTTAATTTTTATGAAAAAATATGACATTTGCAGGATCAAATCGATGTTCACGATCAAAAATTTGGGCATTATAAAAAGTCCGGGAAAATGATCGTAGTGTCAGCTTTATTAAAAATTTGGAAGAAACAAAAACACCGAGTTTTATTGTTTACTCAAAGTAGGGCAATGATTACGATTTTTGAAGAGTTTCTAAAACAGCAAGGGTACACATATTTAAAAATGGATGGCAGCACATCTGTTAGTTCCAGACAACCTTTGATAAATAAATTTAATGAAGTAACTTGGAATATTCATTTACAATTTTATTAATAATTAATTTAATTAGGATTCTAGCTACGACGTATTTTTATTAACTACTAAAGTTGGAGGTTTAGGAGTTAATTTAACTGGCGCTGATAGAGTAATTATTTATGATCCTGACTGGAATCCTGCTACAGATACTCAAGCCAGGGAGCGTGCCTGGAGAATTGGTCAGGAGAAGCAAGTTACAATTTATAGGTTGCTTTCGGCTGGAACAATTGAAGAAAAGGTAAGAATAGTTGTTGATTTGCTCCTTTATTGAATTTTTGTCCAGATGTATCAGCGGCAAGTCTGGAAGCAACTTCTCAGTAATAAGGTCCTTTTGGACCCCAAAACACGCAAATTTTTTAAATCATCAAATCTTCACGACTTGTTTTCACTGCCAGAAAAACGAGAAGATTCAAACCCAGAGACTACTAATATATTTCGGGATGCTAGAGTAAAACTTCAGGAGCAACTAACAGAAAAACAAAAGAAAAAGCCAAAAGAGACTTTTCAGTTTTCTGAGGATAAGATTCAAGCTATGAAAAATTTGGCTCAAGAAATAGCGAAAAGTATATCAAAACCACAAGAACAGGTGCAGAAAAGTTCTTATCAAATCCAGTTGGAAGAAGAAAGGCAGGAAAAATTAAAAATGAAGAAGGAATTGAAACAGTTGACTCCGTTGGAGTTGATGTATTTGAACAGGGAAAAGGCGAAAGAGCGACCTGAGTCTCGCTCCAATAAGGTTGATGATTGTGACACTCATGTTAGTTTTTCCAAAGCGTTGGAATACTCTGAAAAAAATGCGAAATTGTATCATGAATTGAAATGTGAGAAAGTGAAGAAAGATGAAAAGAGGAAAAGTGGGAGCAAGAAGAAAACGTCAAAGGACAAAGATATATTTAAGACCGTGATAGACAACACTGGGTCAATAGATGGGGAAAAGGTCGACGGTTTGGTTAAAACCGAAATTAAAAAGTTGCGAAAGAAACATGAAGCTGGTAAAACGATTGAAAGTCAAGATGATTACGTTTTGGAAAAGTTGTTTAGCAAGAAGGGGGTATCAGGGGCACTTCAACATGATTCTATTTTGAATAGTAGTGTCAAGACACAAAGTCTGAAAGTACAAACTGAAGCTAAATTGCGGGCTGATAAGGCTCTAGAGGCACTCAGGAAGTCACGTCTTAATAGCTGGAGGTGGTAATTTCAGTATTTTTGTATAAATTTTGTATTTTTTGGCAATAAATGTTTTATATTATTACTGTTTTTTTAATTAGCCAAACGTAAAAGTAACACCTTGCAAAACGTTAATATAAAAACGCTGTTAGAGAACTTGCGTATTCTCGAAGAGAATAAAAAATACACAGGAAAAAAATACATTTTTATGCCCATGAATAATTATGGATTACATGTTTATTTTTTATACAGGATGCGCCACAACTCGTGTCCCATAGAAAAATGCCATATAAGGTAAGTTACCAGGAACATGGAAAAAATTAAAAAAAAAATTTATCTATAAAATTTTCGAAGTTATGAGAGTTTAAATTTTGGACTTTGACTCTTATTTATTTCTGTTGCAAAAATAATTTTCCATTTTTTTTTTGCTACAGACTATTAGAAGAGGAAACAAGAAAGCTGTATCCTGAATTGTAACTCTGTTTAATGTTATTTGTGGCTTTTATTGGGAAAATTTTTATCCCTTTACTAAATGATTGTAAAAAAACATGTACAAGATCGTCAGTATCATTAAATAGACATAAAAAAATGTCAAATGTCAAAAAATAAATGTCAAAATTTTTTGACAGATAAAATTTTTTAAACATTTTTTCCATGTTCCTAGTATCTTATCTTACTTGAAATTTTTCTCTGGGGCGCGAGTTCTGGCGCACCTATATATTTAGAAATATTTGATAGCTTAGGGAATTATTTTGTTATTCAAAATAGCATTACTATTATAGTCCGTTTTTTATTACATGCGTGTGGATCAATTAATAATTCGAAAAACTCATGGCTATCTCTTTTCAACATTTGTAAACAGCTTTGTTGATCTGTCGCTAGGTATTTGTGTAAGGTCGGTCACGCTATTTATCTCACGTTAACAAATGCGCTTCAAGTAACACAGGGCATAACTTCGTAATTTTTATAGATAGAATTTTTTTTTAATTTTTACATGTTTCAAGTATCTTACCTTACATGGGGCATTTTTCTCTGGGGCGCGAGTTCTGGCGCATCCTGTATATTAGGGAGACCGAAAACTTTATTCTCATATGTTTTGCATGTTTTTAGTTTTTGTAAGCGTGTGTTTATGATAAAATTCGCTGTTATTAACTGCTGTCGCCAACACAGGTGCAAACCGTTATTGTTATTTGTGTTCGCAACATTTACCTGTTTTTACGATTTCGAATCTCGGATTTGCACAATCGTTGCTGACATAAACCAATCCCACAGCAATATGTTCGGCTCTGTTCCATCAAACCATACAATCAAAAGAACTTTACGTTGGCTTGTTATATGGTTTCCTAATTGGATGTGATGGCTTGATGCCACGGCTGCAGCTTTTCCCAATCTCGACAAATTGCTACTTTTTATAGTGTAAATGATCTGCTGATGTAAACAATTCAAAGATGAATTTTTCTCACGAAATTCCGGCTTTGAGTGTGGTTTTTAGGCACTTGGGTAACCACTTTTTGTATTGAGAAAAGGTGTAAAAAACTCTAATTGCTTAACTAAAATCATTAATCTTAATAAGTGCAAATATAATAAAAGTTTGGTGGAGATCAGCGGCGCTTTATTATTTAAAACAATGGGTAAAAATTAGTGCAAGAAGCTTGTTTTTAATTAAGACCATAAAAAGGAATTAATTTTTCAAAAGTAACAATAGAAGAAAGTGAAAATGGAACAGATGACTTTGCTAAACAATATTACGAGCGCTACTTTGATAACAAACCTCGCAACCCGTGGAGAAGATAATCTTACTATTGTTACTTTGTCAGCTGCGTCTTTGAATCTTTCAATGACCCTTGTAAAGGACGGAACGCATTAATTCCAAAAGCGATACAACATAAAAAATGGAACTTTTCCTCTGTTGAGGGAATGTTATTGTCCTCGAGTTAGTTAAATGTTTTGAAAGCGGATAAATTAAGTGTCTGGTTTTGGTTTCTTTATTACATCTTCTATAAATGCACTACGATATAAACAAGATGGCGTCTTTTCTAAAATGGTCCAAGTTTCGAGTATTATGACGGTTTACTTAGTTATCGCAGTTTCGCTGTTTTAGATACGCCACATTAAATCTAAAACTTTTCTCCAACCGAAAGATATAATCTTTCTTTGGCTCCGGTGTGTTTTTTCCCTCACCGGAGTTTTGGTTTTTGTTTTCCGGGCGTCAAACGGCAATTGTTCGGAACCGCCACGGATCGCGCCTTCTTCTTTTCCTTTTTTTACTTTACAATAGTTCACATTGGTCTTTTTGGACTATATTTTGAGATTTTTATCTCTACTTTGGAGCGGAAAACCTTTAACTGAATAATTAATTCATTTAAAATAAAAGATTTTTCAAATTGAAACGTTTTGATTCGACTCGGTTGTCCCTTAGAAACCGCGCTTTTGTTTGAAGGCAACATTCGAAAGCTCTGTTAATTGAAGTAGTCAACTCAAATCAAAAACAGAACTCGTAGCGTATAATTCGTTGACAAAGAGTATAAAAGTATATGATATATAATAGGAATGGGAATTTAATAAAAAAATTGCTTATAAAAGCCACTTTTGTATAAAGTTGTAATCGTTGTTGAGTCTCTCTTGTTTGTAGTTAATTAATATTATACTACGACATAAACCCCGTTAGTGCCTGGAGACATGTTTTACTGCGAGTTGCTATATCTTTATGGCGAAATATTCTACATGGATACAGTTTTCGCAGTCGTTCCTCTATGATCAAATAAAATATAAATGCAGAAAAGTCGGGAAATATGCACTTTTTATTTAAACTTATATAAACTACAAACAATGATAACTTTAAAAGTACACTTTTTAGAAAATTGGTTTTATTTCTCACAAAAATGCAGTTTTAGCGTTTTTGTGATGGAAATGGCGGTGTTGAATTATGAAATATTAAGTTTTTTGTTTGAACTGCATTTAATTATTAGCTGTATTAAAACATAAGAGGTAACAAAGGTGAGTTATACAGAGTGTAGGTATATTTTATACTGATTATTATGGCATATTGTTTGGGCATATTGACAATAGTAATTATTCATTATTTTATATCTATAAAATAAACACTAAAATAACATAACATAACATATTTTTAACCTTACTTTAGAAAAAAATATAAAATTTTTATTTAGTTTGTTTTTGTAAAATTCTGTGTCACGGACATACATGTAACATTGCTTTTTATATAAAAACAAGGTACGATATAGCGTTTTTAGGTGTATTTTTTTAAAAAATTGTTGCTAGTTTTGTATAATTTTTAAACATGACTTTTATTATTCTCTCGGTTAAGATTTATCATTCATTTTTAATGGTACAACATAGTTTAGATATGTTTTCAAGTATATTTTATATGACGGCGCGCTGAAATTGTATCTTGTGTAACCTTACACATAGTGGAACAAAGAACGATAAGCCATAAACACGACCTCATGCATGATATTTTATTACTTGCGATTTTAGTAGTTTTTTAACGCACTGAAAAGATTATAATTTGCGACAAAATATTTTGTGTTATTTTTTAGTGAGGCGCTGCTTAATTAATTGTATTCTATCTGACGCGTATATAGTTTTTAGTAATAAAACAATTAAGAAGCACAAGGAAAGACTAGGAAAACATAATTAAGAAAATAAAGTAAGATACTGCAAGTTTGTAATTTGGACTTTATGCAACTTTCCGGACTAAATATACAGTAATAAATACAATAGAAGTTTGAAAACTTTACGGAGGAATTAAAAGACAGAAATTGTGACAATAAACCGTGATTAGAAGTTGGCGATTAATTTTGTTCGTTAAACAAATGAACTATGAACTGTGGCGTGTTCAATGCTAGAGCAAAGATTAAGGATAATGTAAGATGCGGAATGTGCAGGCAATCAATCGAGAGCGTCAATAATAAAATAAGCTCAACAAAAATTCCGTGTTCTGCCATTCCATCACACATATGCTGGATTTGGTGAAAATATTTCATCACATGTTCAGACTTTCTGACGTAAATGTTGCATACATCATCATTGTGCTCTTGCAGGAATATGGTTTGCAAGAAAATGCAAATCTTTATCACTCGAGATTCACTTTATTAAATTTTCTGCAAAGATTCGATGCGGTCGGTTATCAAAATTCATTACTTAAACCGGTTAATTCAAAAAGTAACGACAAATTTATCTGAGGTTGCCTGAATATTAATCAGATTTCTTGAGATTCTGTGAACGAAACTACGCCCTTTAAATCTTTCCTTTTCAATTACCAACCCTCTAAAAAATAAATTAAATTTCCAGGTCCCGGCCTAAAACTTTTTGTAACTTCACTTGAGTGTGTTTTAGATAAACCTTCGTCATTCAGCGTTCTGAGTGACAGAATACATCCTTTCCTTAAACAAAGAGAACTTAACATGAAATGTTCATTACGGATAAGAGTGCAAATTGCTTCGTTTGTGCCACTTCTTAATTTCGATATGATTCTGACGTATTAAAATAGGACAAGCTGAATAAATTAAGCAAGTTAGTGGTTAACGGATGGCTTTGCTTTTAAACGGACATTGTAATTTGCAAGTTGGAAACTCTTGGCCGCCGGACATTTCTAAAGCCCGTTCTTCCTTTCAGCTATATAATGTTTCATTTAATTAACGCCTGCAATAACGGCGCCAGCCTTTACAACTGACGAGGTTTGTTTATTACATTACGTAATTAATCTTTCATCTTTTTAACTATAAAATTAGCCGAAAGTTGTCAATAACTTGAATTAGCTGTCGAATACGCGTCGCAAATTTATTCCACGATGTTATAATCGTGTAACATTTGCATTAAATGCAAGTGATGTGTATCGCCAAAAGGAGATATCATCTACGCAAATTTCATAACCAACCCTCAACTAATTGTTTAAAAATTTTGTGATTACATTTACAATTTACGATTTCATGCCAAGATGTAGGGAGAGTCAAGTTAAACTGGCTCACCAAAAATAATTTTATTACAGGTATATTTTAATTTATTTACTTTGTTTGTTTTTGCATGCAAACTGATTTTAAATCAAACATAACAGACTACCTTATTAACAACTAAGAAAATATGGAACATTTTTAGAATTACTGTAATTTTAAAATTGTGGTAATTCCGTATTTAGAAATTCGATTTTTTTAAATTTGATTCAATAACGTTTTATGCACTTTTCTGAGTCGCTAGGATCATTAGAAGTATAGAAAACGTCATTTGTTCCAATTTTAAAAGTGTTCTGTTCACTCAATAAAACGTACGTAGTTGTGAAAGAGCGTCTAGACTTACAAAAAATACTTTGAAATTTATTTTTACTACTTCAGCATAAACTTAAACTTCACTTTTTAAAAGTTATTAATTTTTAATAGAGTTTCTAATTGGAAACCAAAATAAAGTGAATAATAATAATTATTGTGTTGTTAATTTATATTTGATTTTGATTATAAAGCGTTTAAACATTTACGAGCCACTTTTTCACATCTTTTAAAATTATTATTATTGTATAATTTTATGAAACGGTAAAACATGTAGGTTTCAGTAGTTTTATGTGCTCGGTTGATAATCAGATTGTTTTTTTATTATCTGATATTGTATCAATATTCAGTATCATATAAAGCGGCACATTCAGAGGTTAACATTATATCAAAGCTAACTTGATCCTTCAATCATTTACGGACACTTTGTACAATTGAAGGTCATCATGAACTATTTAAAACTATTCGAAAATGGAAACTTGGTTTCATTATTTTCCATTTGTTTATTTTGTTTAAACTTTGTTAATTTATAAAACTGTTAAGACAATTTATTAAAAATATTGGATGTTTGTTCACGAAGATTTTGCATGTATTTTGTGTAAATGTGAAGTTACATTTTTAATAAAACACATTAAAGTTTTATGAGGTCTGTCAAATACATCATATACATATTTAAAGTCGATAAAATTTAAAGAAATGGAAGAGCAAGTTTGGTTGAAAGTTTTTGTTCTTTCTGGGTGGTTCTTTTGCCTCTGCTAGCATGTTTACGTCGATGTCTATAAAAACTTTAAAATGCTTTCAGAAAATTTAACGATTTTGTGTTTCTGTGTTATTAATTATTTGAAACTTGGTTTTCATTTTCTTATTAAAAGATCAAGCGGCTGGAAACAATTAAATTAATTCTTAAACAGCGAGAGTATAAAACGATTGTGTAACTTTTAAATTGACCTCTTATTATTAAATAAAGAGAGTTTACTATTAAGTTGCTTTAATTTGATATGGAAGTTACAAAAAATGTAGCATGTATGTAATTTTAAAATTAATCTGTTCTACTGTGCAAAAAATTAATTAATTAAATAATTTTGCTATTGAAAATACTCTCAATTTTATATTTTATATTTAGATTTACAATATTAATCAAATAAATGATTTAAGTTTACTTTGATATGCCGTTTTTGCGAGTTTGTTGATATTTATGTCTAGTACTTGGTATAAAAAACGGTTATGCGTTTTAATTCATACATTTTGCATGTTTCCCTGATGATTTCTGCGTGAGTGATTGCTTGGAAATTATTAACAATTTCGTTAATAATTTGCTCATTTGAGCACCTAGAAGAAAACGTAGTAAATTTTCAAAGAAAATGTGATTGTGCCAAGTGTTGGCTTGTATCTGTGAAAATACACCAGCTGTCAGTAAAACCCGTTTTCTTATATCTTTCATATCCCCATACACCGCACAAAAACCGAGGCCGTTATCTGATTGCATTAACTTTCGTTTTTCAGATAGGGAAAGAAAGGAAAACGTGTTATCTTCAATTTAAATAATTTTTTTTTGAAATGGAAAAGCGAATTATTTGATGTAACGAATTTTTAGAATCAGTTCGTGTAAATAATTTATTTGACGTGTTTCAGCCTATTTACGCTGTTATACGTGGAATAAAAAATAAGATAACACAATCAATTTACAAAACATGAAGATTTTATGGAATAGTTTAAACAGCATTAAGCAGCATTAGTTTATACAGGGTGCGCCAGAACTCGCGCCCCAGTGAAAAATTTCAAGTAAGATAAGATACCAGGAACATGAAAAAAATGTTTAAAAAATTCTATCTTTCAAAAAATTTTGCCATTTATTTTTTGACATTTGACATTTTTTTATGTCTATTTAATGATATTGATGATCTTGTATATGTTTTTTTACAATTATTTTGTAAAGGTATAAAATTTTGCTAATAAAAGCCACAAATAAAATTGAACAGTGTTACAATGTAGGATACAGCTTCTTTGTTTCCTCTTCTAATAGACTGTAGCAAAAAAACTTGGAAAATCATTTTTCTAACAGAAAAAAAGAGTCAAAGTGCAAATTTTAAACTCTCATAACTTCGAAATTTTTAACGATTTTTTTAACATTTTTTTATGTTCCTGGCATCTTACCTTATATGGCAATTTTCTCTGGGGCACGAGTTCTGGCGCACCCTGTATTGTAATTTTCAATTTAATAACGCGGAATATTTTTAAATTAACGTATTGTTTATATATTTCACATTTTACACAACATTAAACAAACGTTTTGCACCAAAGAATATCTACTACGTATTACGCCTCAACTTTTTGGCGGTTTTACCAATGTGCAAAAATGGTGGATGCGCCGGGCTAAAGTTATTACAGTTTATTTTTTCGCATTTATATACTGTTTTTTTTTAACTTGATAACAAATCAAATTGGGTTAAAAATTTTTGTTGTTGATATTAACCTTTTGTGTAAAATACCTAATAAATTTCAAATTCTTTGACTCTAATATTTGTATCTTGAACCGTTGAATTAAATCGTATAAAATTTGTTATAAATTAAAGCAGTAAGTTATTTTTTTATTTAAATTTTAACAAAGCTAAATTTTATTAGACAGTTAAATAATTAGAACATTTTGAAGCACAATAATTGCTACACAATACGCTAAAAAATTTAATACTGTCAAATTTTGTTTTGTTTTTTTTTTTTTTTTTTTGATAACAAAGTTTCTTATGGGTTGTATCATAGTTTTATCGTTATTTTATTTAACATTTAAGAAGACGTTGAATGAGTGTTAAACAGGTGGCTTTTGATGGAAATGAGTTAGGAGATGTTTGTTTGTAAGTGTTTTCAGGCCAACGGGGAGATTTTGTGAATGAAACGATTTAATTAAGTTCTGTGTCAGTGGAACCCTAAGTCGTCTCTTCGGAATTACATTTCGAAAGTTCGCTTTGTTTTAAAAACTGTTCATTTGTTTTAACGTTCGTAAGAAGTGTTACATTATAGAAGCGTCTTCCATTATTGAGCGCTAGTTAGACAAGTAGATATCTGGATGCTGCTTCAGCCTCCACCTCATTCTCTAGTCTTCCGAAGGGATTAGAAGAATCTATCTGCTTTCTATACTCTTGAGGATTGGTTCGTAGGAACGGTGCTGCCAACAGCGACACAGAAATCCGCAAACGTGTGCCGAATACATCCATCACTTAGTGTAAATGTGTCAAACTAGGAATTTTGTCTTAACTTTGAATGAGCTTGAAACACACGAGTCACCGAGTAAGAGATTGCATCGTCAATAATGCACGCTTGTCCGTTATTTTTCGAGCAATCATGAGGATTTATTTTTATTTCTAAAGGGAAACACGAATTGATTTCGAGTAAAAATGATAAGACGTTCGGTCGGCTAATTTAGTTGGCCTAACGAAGCAACATATAATCAAATTTAAGCTGGAAAATGTACACATACATGCACAAAGCTCATGTTAACTGAGTTATTTAGCATCTGTAATGAATAAGATGAGTAGGGCATGCAAATTACAACAAACAAACGGGCACAAAAGTGAAAAACAAAAAAATGCATTTTCCTACCTTGTTTTTCACAAACAAATAACATTATAAATCAGCGCTTTTAAAATTCCGCTCGGGGATTTTTTAGAAAATGACATCAATGCTGAACAACTTCCACATTTACTTTAATTAAACAAAACACACGAATAAAAAACGTATAATCATTTATTAACAATTATTACTGTACTAATACATTCATTGTTACAATTGTTGGAATGTTGAAATACAAATTTTATACCAAAAAAACTCAAACAGTTTTTACATTAATTAAAAAAATATACAACCGTTACGATAAAATACTAAAATAGATATATTTTTGTAAACATAAAGCAATCAAACAACAATTTTTTAACAGAAACACATTGAATTCGATGTAATTTCTAGAGCTACATAATTTAGGAAACGTCGCCATACAATACTTTAGTTAATTGGTATGTAATACGTAGGTAGGTTCTTTTTTGATTGTAATATTATTATTTACAATGGTATCTCTAAAATATTATAATGATTAAAAAAAGTTACTGTCATCGTGATTTCTATATTTACAATAATTTCCTTAAAATTTTATTGGAATATCTTAATTTTTCATCAAAAAATACCATGATTAAAACAATTTCAGTTTTTTTAAACAAAGTTGCGTTACTCATATCAAAATGTTGATTTATGATGCTTACTTTGTGGCTATTTTCATTAAATCCGGATTAAAATACTGCCAGAAAAGAGATTTTCATTGAAACTAACCAAAAATGTTCCAACTAAAAATTTGATTTATATACAAACTAATTTGATTTTATGCTTTCAAAAAATAAATGTATATGCTGAGATTTTTGTAATTACCGCTTGTTTAAAATTTAAACAAAATGGATTTTCAAATTGAGGTAGTTTGTGGTCTATTGGAAAAGCAGATTATTGTGAATTCTTCATGAATAACAGGCAAAATAATGTTTTAAATAATCCCGAAAATTTATAGCACATCGAAACATTTGCATGGCTTTTTGTAGAGAAGCGTATTTATTTAATGTAATCTGGGTTTCTGTGAGATTTCAGCGGGATTTTAGTTGAAATTCTAATAATCTGTCACAGGAAAACAATTAAGATTTTAATTATAATAGTAATTATATTCCTTTAGTTAATGTTAAGTAACAAATTGAAAATAATTGAAATCTCGCTTATGTGCCGTCAGTAACTTACCCTGGGCTAATAACAATAATGTTAACATGGAATAAATTATTTAATAGCTGTAGCAAATGGGCGTTTATTCTCCTCCAAATTTACTGAAAGTGACAGAAAGTGTTATGTTACATACTAACTTGAATTCCTTTATCATTTAACTTTGGTAAAACAGGTTTAATTCGTCAGATTTCAAATTATCGCAAGTTAGTATTTATTCCGTTGACAATTAAGCGCGTTTTGCCACGCACAGCAAAACAAGTAGATAATTTAATTAACTTCATCAATGAGTTATAATGTAAAACTACAGTTGAAAGCTATGAATATAATTATTGTAGTTGTTGTACATATCACGTATGTAAATGATTCGATTGATTTAATTGTTAGAACTCGAAAAAATATTGCTTTGGCATCGTTTGGCTGTTTTTTATAAATTAATTTAAGTTGTTATTAAGTCGTAAAATTGCAATAACCAGTTATTTACCTTTTCACAATCTCACAAACGCCGTAAAAATTTATAAAGTTGAGTTGAAAGGAAGATATTTGGTTGTCAATGAAAATCGTATTTGATCAGTAAACGTGGTAACTTTTCATTAAATGTGAATTAATCATTCACCGGCAAATAAATACGTCTGTAAAGTTACATCGGCAAAACTCTTTAAAGGTGACTAGAAACAAAAAATATAACCTTGATACTACGTTTACCTAAAGTATAAATTTTCACGTTGTCGGTTATTCTATATTATATTTACATATAACGACCATAAATTTCCAGAACTTCATAATACAAAATTTGTTTTTTCTTATGCTACAAGTGTGAACATTCAGTATGGATTTCACGTCATATCCAGCATGTGTAAATAAATGTAAACATATTCGCAGACTTATTACAAAAAAAGGAATATTCACACTTGATTTTTGAGCGTAGATGCAGGAAATTACGATATAAATCGACTTCCTGAAAATACGTCTTAAATAAAGCTTTAGAAAGGTAACGCAATTTTGAGCAATTCAGGTGTACAGGTTTATGTATGTAGCAGTTGTCAATGCGAAATTATACATTTTGTACAAGAAATAATTTCAATAAATTAACTGTAATTAAAACTGAAAATTTTGCTAAGTTTATTACACTACAATTATTGCACCGCATAGGTATACTTAAAATTCAACGGTAATCACACTTATTTGGCATTATCACACACAAATAATAATTGCATCGCTTATGGAAGGTACAAGTCTTTATTTATTATTTCACAACAAATCACACAATCCATTTTTATACCCTCTTAAGTTTATCACGTTTTTAAAAACACTATCACTTTTTTAAATAACTTTACAAGTTTTTCCACGTTGAATTCATTGGAACTTTCTTAACCAGGCGTGTAGGTGAACATAAAAAAGCAAAATTGCTATTAGGATGTTGGAGATGCACTGTTTTTCGGGGCCGCTGCTGAAAAAAATTCCTGCAACAACAGGGAAAAGTGTAAACATACATATCTAATTATTTCTGCCATACAATTTCGCTAATTTTTCAATGCACGATTAATAACAAATTTGATCACATTTCGTCTCTTTAGGTTTTTTCGTTTTTGTTGCATAGAAAATAAGTTGTATGACACCGCGACAAAAACTACGAACAAATAAGTTAAAATTACTTTTAGTCTGCAGTCGGCTTTGTATTCGTATTGTTTTGTGAATAAAAGCGTTGTCACATTAGTTTAATATTAAATTAATATTTTTAGATTGACACAATGTTTGTTAAATAACTGTTTGATTTATTACATACAATTTATTACAAGTTTGATTCAATCCAAAGAGTTACTGAAAAGATTAATTTACTTTTTAATTTTAGTATTATTTTTTTTTAATATTTATTAAGAGGAAATTGTTTTTACTATATTCAGTCTATAGTTGTCCTGAGGTTTTAGGTTAATACTGAAAAAAAGAGCATTCGGCATTACCTTCGCTGCTCAAAGTGGTGGGCACCATAATGAGAGCAAGTTGAGGGGCATCATCGTGGAGTTCTGACTCTTGTGTTTTCCGGTACAACGTAAACATCGTTGCCAAACACCGTATTTTCATTTTACCGTTTTTGAAGAGCTCTAGACTTGCATTTATAGAGATCATGGAGCGGACAGTTTCTAAGCCAGGGAGGGCGTCGTAACGTTCGACTGAATTGTGGATATCGATGCCGTATTTTGGCTGAACCTAAAAAAACAGCAAAAAATTACATAACATTTCATAGTCTTGCTGACTTGTTTTAAATTAAAAAATAGCTTGTTTTGTGTGAGACATCCGTATGAATAATTTAGAGTGTATATTTTAAAATTCAGAAATGTTGAAAAGTCAAATTATATGCGCAAGATATGAACCTACTTAAAAACTTCACAATTTCATTACATAAAGTAGTAACTCATCCAGTGTCTGGAATATTTCAGAGAACTTTTTAATTATACATGTTTTAATTGAAGCTGAATCACGAATAAGCTTTTTGAGATATGTTTGCGAGATATCCGCTTGTGTAACAATTTTTTTAATTAGATAAATCAGAGGAGTTTTCCGATGACAGTGCGGTGTGAAATTGAAGTGTGGTAATATCAAAAATACATTTCAATATGTTGGAAAGCACGTATCCGGCTTCAAAGGTACGATACAGACACTGTTGTACTCCGTAAATTCAATTTAGTATCGAAGCATAAGCTCTTAGATCTTCATATCAAGGAGGATTACTTGAATCAATTTCATTTTCACTTTCTGAACTGAAACCTTCAATGTCTAAATTCCAGAGTCGTAAGATTATTTGCCTTTTCGATATTCTTATGCAAAACTACCTTTGGCTGCTCTCTTCTACCGTTTCTGTGGATTATCCCAAATAGAAACTTTTCCATTTTATTATACTTACTTAAGATAACTCAAATTTACACAGCGTTTTATTAAGTTAAAGAAAATAACAGTTTTAACGTTAAGCAAGGCTTTCACTATAATGACAATATAATTTGCTAAAAATTGAACAGTTTTTTAATTTGTGATACAAATAATTCAAACATCAATTAACAACTATTTATTCAACGTTTTACAAATAACGTTTGATGAAAAACTTTTTTCATTAGGAACATTTGCATGTATTTGATGGAGTTTGTAATTAAGTTGAAATTATGGGTAACTACGTATTTGACTCACTCTAAACATACAAACGAAATTTTTGATGGTTTCTTTAATTAAAATTTACGTCACTTATGTTTAGGTAAAAAGAGTCTTGGAAAAGTCAGGAAAAGATTATTTACTTATTGTGTGTCTTTTATTTGATAAAATTTTAAAAAATGCATTACAATTACATCTGTCAAAATTTTAATAAACACTATATTTGTTTTAAACAGAAAAGGGAGAATAACTAAGAAGAGTGTGAAAAGTTTTTATTATAATTTTAATGGTAAAAAACGGTATTAAAATTACTTCAAAAAACAACGTTTAGTTGAAAGTTTGTAATTTAAATCGTTGGTATTTTAAATAAAACCATTCCGAGATTTAATGAGGCGTCTGCGTCAAGTGTTTTTGTCTGGGCACGTCATAAATTTAGTCGTGATGCTTTCGACGTCGATATCGGAAAGATGTCTGAAATACCAATGGGTGGTCATGCTGATTTTATCCTATTCGTAAGACGCTCCGAGCTGCTAATTGATAGTCACCCTCATCAGACGTAATCTCGAAGTGTCCACAGGCGGCGACACTACATTCCACCACCAAGATGGATGTTCCTTCGAATACGTAGGGCAGGACTTTATGTCGTCTCCAGATGCTAACGCATGCCTTTTGTGTGACGTCCGTCGTTCCTCAATGCACTCAGTTTCAATTAACTCAAGCCTAATTTCAGAGACATATTGTTAATGAACATCGTTCTTGTTGCTCTTTTTATGCATAAAATTATTTTGCGTTTCTAGGGGTAAGTGGGTTCGTAATGAGCGCTTCTTGTCAAGGAAGATTCTTCATAGCATTTTTCTATATTTCGTCGGTGGAAATACGGCATTATTGTGAAAAATAATGAAAGCTCACAAAGAATGCTAGGAAGCAGGTAATTCGAGCCTAATCAAAGTAGAATGCGGGAAATAGAGAAAAAGATGGGTTTTTATTTGATATACTGGCCGTAACTTTTTTATTATCTACGACTGATGAATGGGGCTTTGAAGCTTTGTTATTGACTTGTTTTGGACGAAAACGATGTTGTTATTGTATGAATAACATACAAAATTTTTAGAACAACGATTTATATTTATTCAGCAAAGTAAATAAATAAATAGTTGAAAGAATGTCCTGAAATCTCGAAATACTTGTATTTAGAAATTTGTACTTAAAAAAATTAAAAAGAAACACTGTCCGCATCGTATTTTCCGCAAATTTTAAGTAGGTACTCAGACTAAACGGTTTTTGTGCTTTGTGGTTTTATTTATAAAATATACAACAGATTTCGAGTACGTGAATTTTACTACTAAAGCACTGCTACATATTTTGCATAATAACTCAAATAAGCATCAACGAAATAAATATAAACTTAGTTTAAATTCCATTTCATTTTATTTAAGGATGGTTTTATACGGGTGCGCCAGAACTCGCGCCCCAGAGAGAAATTTCAAGAAAAGTAAGATACAAGGAACATGAAAAAAATGTTTAAAAAAATTTTGACATTTATTTTTTATAACATTTGACATTTTTTTATATCTAGTTAAGGATACTGATGATCTTGTATATGTTGTTTTACAATTATTTAGTAAAGGGACAACAATTTTGCCAATAAATGCCACAAATAACATTGAACAGATTTACAATTTAGGATACAGCTTCCTTGTTTCCTCTTTTAATAGCCTATAGCAAAAAAAACTTGGAAAATTATTTTTCAAAGAGAAATAAATAAACTCAAAGTGCAAACTTTAAACCCTCATAACTTTGAAATATTTATAAATATTTTTTTTTAAGATTTTTTCCTGTTCTGGCGCACCCTGTAGGTATCCCATAAGATAACCATTTTTGTTCATATTGTATGTTAACAATAAAAACTTAAAAATTAACCTTAGTTGCTATTAAAAAACAATGGGCAAAAATAATTTGTGATTTGTGACAATTTTGTGATTTTTGTATCTACGTACTAAACTTTTTTTTATTTCCTAACAAAGAACATTTTAATCAGCCAAATTACTCATAACGTTAACGAAGGATAATTGCAAACAACATTTTGTAACATGGATATAATCACATGAAACTTTTTATAGAGACTTCCGGGCAGTTTGCCTCTAGATACACGCCAAAAAATCAAATTGAGTTTAAATTAGACAAACATAAAAGCGCATTTCAATGTCACAACATCAACAATGAGTTTTAATTACATTTTGTTTCTGCTGTATACAGGCTTTACTTTAATTTTCTATTATTAGAACATAGTCATCTTCGTTAAACATTTTTCTAGTTTTTCCTAAGCTCAAGATACATATGTGTCCAATTAACTAATTGCATTACTTTAGAATGGAAAAAAACAAGAAGTTATTCAAAGGTAGTAAAGTGTTAGACTTTCTTTCAACATTGAAGATGACAATTAGTTCTTTTTGTTTTGGTTGTGTGTACAACAACAAAGTATCACGTATAATGTTTATAATTCTAAAAGCTTGTAAGCGTAAATTTTCTAATCTACTTGTTTTGAAGATAGCCTAAGGGGTTGCTTCGTATGTTTGTTAGGTGAATCAATGGTAAAAACAAAATTCAGAGTACAAATAAAAGAACTAGAAATAATCTAAACAAAACCTAATTAGTATGATCAAACATTCGAAGGGAATGCATAATGTATGTAATTCTAAAAGCTTGTAAGCATAAATTTACTAATCTACTTGTTTTGAAAATAGCCTGGGGGTGCTTCGTATGTTTGTTACGTGAATCAATGGTAAAAACAAAATTCAGAGTAAAAATAAAAGAACTAGAAATAATCTAAACAAAACCCAATTAGTATGATCAAACATTCGAAGGGAAAATAACAGGCATGAGTGGCCGTGCTGCAATCACAGCATCACGTAACCAACTACCGCCCCGCAATTCAAACAATTGTCGAGAGTGTCAGTGTCTGATTGTTTGCTGTTTGACAAATAACAACGCATCAAATTGTAGAAATTCCACGCATACGTGCAATCAAGTTAGCAAGTTAGCAGCAGGCCTTGTTAGAGTCGAACTAGACGATGGTGGTGGGAACATTCAGCCTCCAGCTTGGCAATACTATGGCTAATTATTATAGCTGCAGTAATTGGACTGTAATTTGGGCGCCCTGCTAGGGCCCACACGTTCACTCTGACGCATCATATCTCACGTTAATTAATTAGCAAGCTGCTTATGAAACTATATCGTTTTAATGCCAACCGACATCCAGGCCATCATCCTATCAGATGTATGCATGCTACTGTCCGAAGAGGTCAAAACTGTTTACCAAATGAAAGCTTTTTACAAAAAGAGAAAAAATATCGCGAGGTATAAAACGAACTGCAGTCGCTCTTTCCACATCATAAAATGTTTTATTTCGTTAGACTTTAAAGTTTGACTTATGCACTTTTCCATTGACTTTTATGCATTTTCGATGACACTAAAACATTTCTAAATGATAAAATCAATAATGGTTTATTCTTCAAACCTGCAGTCACTCTCACATTACTGAGATGCGGAAAAATTTATCGGTTTATTTGGCGACTAAAGCTCCAGTCTTCAGAAAATTGCCCGAATAAGCGAAGATGGAAATTCAGATAGATTATCAAATGAAGGTTTCCAAATACCAAAAAATCACACTTTTATGCCAAAAATATTATTTAAAATTGAATTTACAAAATTATAAAAAAGTATAATGCAAGTGAATAAATTTATTTAAAACGTTTTTCATTAATGTTTATTAAAAGTTACAATACAGAGTGTCCCACGCAAAATATTTATTTTATACTGCTTCTAATTTTTGTTATTGTCTTCATTTAAATAAAGCAATTTTCTATTTCGTTGCTTTTAAATTGTATAGACACGCTACTGAAACAATCATTGAATGACAGCAATGGATTGATTTGTGTTTATTTAAACAGAACACAGAACTACGTTAAAAAAATGTAATTTACAAATTTTTCGGCATTTTGGCGCATAGTGTATAAATAAATATAAAATAATAATAAATCTTTAGATGTGAAGCATTTCTTTCTACA